TGTGAATGCCATTCATTCACAAGAGGTAAATAAAGAGGGTTTTTTTGTGGCAAGGAGCCTGTATCTTCTTTCTGCTAAGGCTGGGTCAGAACATTGCATCTCCAGGAGGGGTTGCTGGGAAGATGTTTGGGTCCCTGTACCTTGAAATGATGGCTGGAATTGTATCAGGGTATAATCACTGGACAACTGTGTTTCTTTAAGAGCGTTTGTTGAGGAGGTAATATACAATTCTTGTTTTTTGCTTATTAAGTTCACTGTGTACTTCTTCAGTAGCAGTTTTGTGCTTGGGATGGAATAGTTGTTTGTTGTCTTGAGTTATAAATGACATCTAATTTTTGTAATGTATTTTGTCTTTTAATGGCCTTGTCATCCCTTGCATCGGGGTGGAGTCATGGCAACTGAATGGAGCTGAGTGTTTACTGGTCGGATGGCCTTCCTGTCGTCAATGCAGAGTTTGCAGCAGATAGGTTCACATTGTGCCCAGAAAGAGAAATATCTGCCACTACCTAGGATCGAACTCACAGCCTCCTGATTGTGAGGCGAGAGCTCCACCTCTAGGCCACTGCACCATTTTAATTTTTGTAATGTAGGAGTAATTTATTTGTTTCTGCATAAAAAGATGACCTGAAAATCCTTTCCCAGACATCATTGAATATTCTTGGTATTTCTGCAGGAAGTCCTGACTGGGAGAAAGTTGATGTTCGTTTAACTCTATTTGGGAACAAGAGGCCGTGCATATATCATTTTAAGCCAATTTTATTCAGAGGAAAGAGCCATGTCGTAGTGTTTCTGGGGATAAAGGTTGTTGGTATGATTAAGCTGAGCTCCATCAGTTTACTTTATAAGCAATCTTCATTCAGTGGCATTTGTGGTTAGAATGGTGTTGAAAAAGTAGCTTTAAAATGCCTCCCATTTATGCTCTTCACAGATCACGTAAAGCAAATAAAAGCTGAAGTAAGATCAGGAGCACGGTTGCAGTTTCACTTAATGACTGTTTTGCTTAATGACCAAGTTGCCAGTCCCAATTGTGGTCACTAAACAAGACTATACTACCTCTAAGAGTAATATAGTGTATTGAATGGGAAACATTTGTCCGGTCTCAAATATTTAGTGAAGGAATAGAGGCTGTAATAAACCTGGAACTTTAGAAAGCCAATATTAAGCTCTACCTCATTTATATGCAAATCATCAACCTATTGTGGGAGTCCTTGCTGAGAAAATACCAAAGCCAGTGTTGTCGGAAAGAAAAGCTGGAAAGTGGATTTTGGATCTTTTCTTCCTCCATTCTATTTAACTATCCCACTGTTTGAATAGATGGAAGATTTTTTTTTATCCCTATATCCTAAAGGAAAGGTGGAGAAAGTATCAACAAGGGATATTAGAAAAAGAAGAGAATTAGTTGTTTTCTGCTTTGGGATCATATCTTAAATAGGGATGGGGTTATTTTTTGGGAAATGGCAGGTTGTACATTAATATACATAGAGATAGAGTGGCTTTTTGGAGATGCTTTGATTTCTGTAAGATTACAATTGTGGACTTGCTTTGTTAGCAAAGTGTTGAGGGAAGTCACCACTTCTAGAAGAATGAAGTATTTTGAGAAATATTTTAAAAAGGCAGAATATTATATTTCCCTAAAGGAGAAACATGCTCTTGGAAAGCAGCTCCCACCTTTCTTAATAGCCCCAGCAGTACTGGGCCAGCCTATCTACATGTATGTATGGCCAGCCATACATACCCCTCACTCTCAACTCCAAGTGGTCAGCTGCACCTGGACCATGTGCTATCTACAAGACAAAAGACTTCCAGCTCCAGGGTGATGGGATTAAGACATGACCCTCCAGGACATAATAGGATTAACCCATTACTTGGAAACATTGTATCACGCAGTAAACTTCAACCAAACCTGGGATTCAGACAACCTACAAAATTAGCTATGACCCCTAAAGGTAAAGATAAAGCTTCCCCTCGCACACATGTGCTAGTTATTCCCGACTCTAGGGAGCAGTGTTCATTTCTGTTTCAAAGCCGAAGAGCCAGTGCTGTCCAAAGACGTCTCCATGGTCATGTGGCTGGCATGACTAAATGCCGAAGGCGCACAGAATGTTGTTACCTTCCCACCAAAGGTGGTTCCTATTTTTCTACTTGCATTTTTACATGCTTTCGAACTGCTATGTTGGCAGAAGCTGGTACAAGTAATGGGAGCTCACTCTGTTATGTGGCACTAGGAATTCAAACCGCTGAACAGCCGACCTTTCTGGTCAACAAGATCAGCATCTTAGCCACTGCGTCCCTTTTGCTATGACCCCTACAGCAGCCAATAGAATACATGTTTTTGTACAGGAACAGGAAGCTCAAGTGCAAAGCCCAAGAGAAGGTATAAATACCCGCCTGAAATCTCAACTCCAAGTGGTCAGCTGCACCTGGACCATGTGCTTGGTGGTTCTGTCACCATTAAACCCTCTGTCCAATCAGCCTCCATGTTTCCAGTGTCTTTATCCTGGGTTGGAACTGAACTAAATGGATATTTCTTCCAACAGTGTAATAATAGGTAATGTCAGGATAGGCCACAAAAGAAATGCAGAGCAGGGGTGGGTTGCTGCCAACATTACTGCCGGTTCCCTTTGCGCACATGCACGCTGTGTGTTACTTGTGCATGCGCATTGCCTTTGAATTGTTTTGTGCATGCGCAGACTATTATAAAATGACAAAAAATATTCTGGCAACAGCATGGGCGACTGGGGAACCAGTTCAGGGACCTGGCCAGCCTGCCCTACCTACTGGTTCGGCGACCCAGTCGCAATCTCCACTACCAGTTCGCCCAAACCGGTGCGAACTGGTAGCAACCCACCTCTGATGCAGAGCTGTATTTCTTCATGGCCCGTGTGTTCACCTTATCCTGACCAAAATTGAAATAGCTGTAGGTGGCATGATGTCTCCTTAATTATACTCAATTGACTATTTTCTTTTTGAATGGAATCTTTGAAGCAGGTTGGTCAGTCTTTGGAACAAAGCCATGCCCTTTCAAATCACACATTTTTTAATGTGAATCTAATTACAACAAAATTTAAAATGAATTTGAATTAATTGACTCCATATTGATTTTCAAGTTCTCAGGTCACCATACTTACTCAGAAGCATCTTCTCTCCTTGCTGCCCCCAGGAAAGGGAATTGTAAAAATTGCATACAACCCCCCAACCCCCAATCTTATTGAATATATGCAAATACTGCCCTTTAATTTGTTAGGGAAATCAGGAGAGTTTTAATTCCTAAAACTATAACTGCTTAAAACAGTGTGACTCCTACTGTCATCATCCCATAAAGGTCTGAAATTCAAGAGTGTATAAATTTTCTGTAGCCTTAGGAAAGTGCCTGCTTTCACAGTGCAATCACTGGTATATGGTAATGCATATGGGTAATGCATGTTATTGGATATTTGGCATTTAAAAGCATCTTTGTCAGTATTGCTGTTTGAAATTAGAGCACTTTAAAAAAAAAGAATTCTGATTATTTTTCCTGCTTTGCTCTTTAAAGGATGACTTATCGAGTCATCCTTTAATGCTGGTGTGGAGTTACAGAAACAGAAAATGGATGGCTCCGTTTTGACAAACTGTCTATTAAAGTCATTTTATTTTTTCATTCTACGCTCATGCTGTGAATTATTCTGCCCTCCGTGGATTCATGACTGATCTTTGAGCAATCAATTCAGCTCCTGTAGTTGGTCGTAAGACAATTCCAGTTGCTGCACTATTCACTCAGCCAATTTGATCCATACATTTCAATTGATTCGCTAAAATGATAAACCTTAAAGGTAAAGGTGAAGGTTCCCCTCGCACATATGTGCTAGTCATTCCCGACTCTAGGGGGCGGTGCTCATCTCCATTTCAAAGCCAAAGAGCCAGTGCTGTCCGAAGACGTCTCCATGGTCATGTGGCTAACATGACTAAATGCCGAAGACGCACAGAATGTTGTTACCTTCCCACCAAAGGTGGTTCCTATTTTTCTACTTCCATTTTTACGGTTCCACCACAAAAGCGCGTAGGACAAAATCGCGCTCGACAAAAGCGCGCTGTGACATCATCACAGCGCGACGAAAAAGTTCGAAAAATGTAAAAATAAAGCGAAAACCTTACCCTAAGCCCCCCAAACCTAACCCTAACCCTAACCCTAACCCTAACTCTTAACCTAACCCTAAACCTAACCCTAAACCTAACCGTTAAAGTAACGAAAAACCTAACGCTAACCCTTAACCTAACCCTAACGCTAACGCTAACGCTCTAAAGCTAACCCTAACCCTTAACCTAACCCTAACCCTAACCCTAAACCTAACCCTTACCTTTATGTGAACCGGCTTGCTTTAATTTAATTTTTATTAATTTTTATTTGAATTTTTCGATCTTTTTCGTCGCGCTGTGATGACGTCAAAGGCGCGATTTTGTCGATCGCGCTTTTGCCGTCCGCGCTTTTGACGGGTCACGCATTTTTACATGCTTTTGAACTTCTACGTTGGCAGAAGCTGGGACAAGCTCACTCCGTTACACGGCGCTAGGGAGTTGACCCACTGAACTGCTGATCGACAAGCTCAGCATCTTAGCTGAGATAAGAGCCGAGGTGGCACAGTGGGTAGAGTGCAGTACTGCAGGCCACTTCAGCTGACTGCTAGCTGCAGTTCGGCGGTTCAAATCTCACCGGCTCAAGGTTGACTCAGCCTTCCATCCTTCCGAGGTGGGTAAAATGAGGACCCAGATTGTGGGGCAATATGCTGACTCTGTAAACTGCTTAGAGAGGGCTGAAAGCCCTATGAAGCGGTTTGTAAGTCTAACTGCTATTGCTATTAGCCACTGAGCCACCGCATCCCTTGTAAACCTTAGAATATAAACTTAGAATTCCAAAATTATATCCTTTGCTTATATTTATTTAACCCCAAATAAAATGGGCTTTTCATGGGGCTTGGCTCTTGAGATGTTTCGGTCCTGATTAATTTTTCTTCTTTTCTTCATAGGTTGCTGGATATTGAAAGTCAAATGATCTATTTTGCAAGTTCCTATGCAGGAACAGGATTTGCTGTTCTGGTGCTTGGATACCTCCAAGTCAGTATTTACTTCTAGTCCTTCATTTCCCACCCCACTCCAGAAGAAAAGTCAGTTACCGTATTTTTCGAAGTATAAGACGCACTTTTTCCCTTCAAAAAAGAGGCTGAAAATCTGGGTGCGTTTTATACACTTAATACAGCATTTTTTGCCTCCCCAAACCCTGCCCCCTTCATCAAAATGGTCGCGCATAGCTTTTAGGAGGTTTTCAGAGTGTTCCTGAGGGTTGGGGGAGGGCAGAAATGAGCAAAAAATGGGCAATTTTTTGCTCAATTTTGCCCCCCCCCCAGCCCCCAGGAGCACTCCATAAGCCTCCTAAAGGCCTTGTATGCCACTGTTTTGGGGGAAAAACAGGCCCGTTTTCACGAAAAACAGGCCCTTTTTGCTCATTTTTGTCCTCCCTCCCGAGCACCCTACAAGCCTCCTAAAGGCTATTCATGCCCTTTTTTGGGGGGAAAAAACTTGGCCCGTTTTCGTGAAAAACAGGCCATTTTTGGGAGGTCTGCAGAGTGCAAAAAAGTGGTTTTTTAAAAAATTTGCCTCTTCAAAATCTTTGTGGAAATAGGAATTACATGACTTCTTGATCAGGGACAATTTTTTGTACTGCCTTGGAACTAATATCAGCTTTGGGGCTGAGGTGACTGAATAGACCAGGGGTGTCAAGCTGGATTTCTTTGTGGGCTGGATTGTTCTGACTTTGGCTTCCCAAGAGCATGAAACTGACTCCTCATCCTGATAAAACCTCTTTTATTTAGGTTAAAGGGAATTCCTCCCCAGCAAAGTCCCGGCAAACAGTCTTTCACAATTACAGGTCTTTATCAGGCTTGGAGAGCTGCCAGGCCAATATCTTCCAAACGCCATACTGTAGCAGCAATTACTTGGCAAGAAGTCAGGAACAGATCTTCACCCTAATGAATTGAACTTATTGTCTCCTGTAAACTCTCCTCCCCTTTCGCTTCTCTTTATTCACTATGGGAGGGGCCATTCACTGTCCACCTGTGCCTTTACTCCCGAGTCAGCCCTTGTTCCTTAGCTGTTCCCTTCTCCTGGCAGCTCTGCATGCGCACATCGAGAACAGGCTCCAGCTGTTCTTCTGCCCCACTGATATTCGACTCTAAAGGCAGCTGATAACTGTCTGCACTGGCTCCATCTCTGCCTCCAATGGGGAGCGCTCATCAGAGCCTTCCCCAGACTCTAGGATTGGCCCAACCTCCTCACTGTCTGAGTCTGGCGGGCCACAACATGGATCAACATTGTAGTTCTTCGCTGGCTGGGGGAGAATACAGACATATACAGCCTCCTGCAACACTCTGCCAGTCAAAATGGGGCACGAGGGGCTTTTTACCACCCCCGCATGCCCTGTTTTCAGCCTGAATGTCATCCTGCAGCACAAAATGGCCCCATTTTCGCTGGCAGAGTGCTGCAGGAGGCTGTCCAGCCTGAAAATGGGGCACGTGGGCCCCTCAGGCCCTGTTTTCACTAGCAGAGACACCACAGGCCAGTTCTTTGCTATTTCCAGGCCAGCCCCATGGGCCAGATTTAAGCACCCAGTGGGCCAGATACGGCCTGCTGACTTTGAGTTTGACATCCCTGGAATAGACATTACTTTTCTTATAAAACACAGGGATCCATTGCAGGCCAAAAAAGATCCTTCAACATAATCTATCTATGCAGTTGAAAGAAAAAAGTTAAATTGAAAAGGAATAACGTGATGAAGAAAAACATTGTAAGGAGTTGGTCCTCGTTACGACCCTTCATTTAATGGGCATTATGATATCACTTCAAAAATTGGCTTACCACCGGTTGCAAGATAATGGTAGCAGAAGGCATAAAATCAGCGCTAAGAATACTGAGATTATGATTATTTCCATTTATCTTACTGCCCAATCAGTTTGGCATTGTTTTTCAGTAATCAAGGAAAGTTTATCCATCTTCTAATAGTGTTTCTCCACCCCATCCCACTCTTTTTGTTGTTGTTGTTAGATCTGTTTGTGGGTAATGTCAGCTGCTCATCAGACCCAACAGATCCGAAAAGCCTATTTTAGGAAAATCATGAGGATGGACATAGGCTGGTTTGATTGTACATCAGTGGGGGAACTCAATACACGAATTTCTGAGTGAGTAACTTGAGATAGCCACTGACAGGACTACATGCCAATAAACAGTCTCTGGAAAGTCAGGGAAGGTTTTAAAAAATTATTTCTGTTGAAGTTGATAGGGCCAGCCCTGCCATTACCACCTGCTTGAGAGGCCCTGTTTCTTGCCAATATTTCACAGGACCATTGAGATGTCAATCTGTGTGTGTGTGTGTGTGTGTGTGTGTGTGTGTGTGTGTGTGTGTTTGTGTGTTTCAGCCTAACTCTGGAATGCCTTGAGCAATTTCAACCAAACAGATGACTTACTCTCTGGAAAACATACTGTGTGGGGTAAGACACCCCTAAAACCCCTTGGGGTGTGTGTTCTGTTAAGATACAGCCTGTTGTGCCTTAAAATGGCTTCTACTGTACTGCCGTAAAATGACTTCCACTGTATAGTACAGTGGAGTTGCCATGATAACTGCTTCACAGTATTCCACAAGGGAGCTCCCTCTGGTAAGGGGGAAAATCCAACATTAGAAATTAGGTTTGGTCTGTACATTTCCCCCCTATAAATAAATACCCAGGCAACGCCAGGTTATTGGATAGTGTGTAATAAAAATAGAGACAACCCTAGATCTGGCAGAAAGTGGTCGAATCACATGGAGCTAATCTGTTTTGCTAGATGGTCAAAAATATCTGAGAAGCGTCCATTTGGCCAGAAGAAATATGATCCTTTCAACCTCCCTCCCACCCCCCAATCCTGTCAGAATTAATCTTTCATAGAAATTCCAGCAGGGCAAAATACTTGGAAATATATAAGCCCTTTTGCCTGCACCAAGTTTAAGGTTAATCTTATATGCAGGAAACAAACTCCCCAGATAAAAGAATGATCAAATGAATAACTATCACCATACATCATCCTCGTCCACATGGCTCCCCGCCCCCCCCCCCGTGAAAAAGGAGCGATGATCATTTTGTGTGTGTTGGGAATTGCAATGAAGGCCCAATGGATCTGCTGCTTCAACTTTTCTTGTTCTCCACAGTGACGTTAATAAAATAAACGATGCTATTGCTGATCAAGTCGCAATCTTTATCCAGCGCTTCACCACCTTTGTTTGTGGATTCCTGCTAGGATTTGTCAGAGGCTGGAAGCTGACCTTGGTTATTATTGCAGTCAGTCCTCTAATTGGCATCGGAGCTGGCATAATTGGCCTGGTACGGAAGAATGTCCTTACTTATTGAAAGAGCTTACTTAAAGGGATTTGGGGATATGTGGTGGTGGTGGTGGGGAGATTCCCCCAATTAAGGGAAGTTGGGGAAAGATTTCTAAGTTATGGACCATTTCAGGAAGTGCCTTGGTAACCCTCCATCATACCATTTACTACTGCTTTTTTTAAAAAGTTAGCAGCCATTTCTTTGGCACAATTTCCTAGAAGTAATTTTTGTTGTTCCTTATAAGAACTGATAGGTGGGGCACCTCAAGGAACCATTGATTTGCCATTTCTTTATTCCAGAGAAGGAAGAAAGCAAGGAAGAACTGACCCCAAATCATTTAGCACAGAGGTCTCCAACCTTGGCCACTTTCAGACCTGTGGACTTCAACTCCCAGAATTCCTCAGCCAGTTGGCTGAGGAATTCTGGAAGTTGAAGTCCACAGGTCTTAAGGTGGCCAAGGTTCAGTGGTGGGATGCAGGTGGTACTTTCCAGCATGGGTGTACCGGAGCCTGCCTGGAGCACTGGATACCATTCAGGTATGGTGCTCCAGAGGTCCCACCCACCCGCCCGAGCTCCTTACTGGTCTTTTAAGTCTTCGGGGATTCTGTGCATGCGCACGGCATGTACAGCACCTGTGGGATGCTCCGCTGAGCAGCTGGAACATTGCAGAGGCTCGTGGAGATGCTAAGACGCATGCACACGCTGC